GGTAGGGCAGTCTTTTCTCCCCTCCCGCGGAGAACTGCGGGTTCTAAACCGGTCTCTGAGGGGATTCAGGTTCAAGATGCTCACCATCCCCGCCATCCTGTCGCACATCCAATCCGAGGATTGGTTCGTCACGATAGATCTAAAGGACGCCTATTTCCACGTCTCCATCTGTCCTTCTCACAGGAAGTTGCTGAGGTTCGCCTTCGGGGGTGTGGCTTACCAGTATCGGGTTCTTCCATTTGGCCTGGCACTTTCCCCTCGCACATTCACCAAGTGTATGGATGCAGCACTGGCCCCGCTGAGGCTCCAGGGCATCCGGATTCTCAACTACATCGACGACTGTCTCATCCTAGCCCAGTCTCGAGAGTTGGCGGTTCGGCATCGAAATGTCGTTCTGGCTCATCTGCTGCATTTAGGGCTGAGGCTCAACGCAAAGAAGCGCCCACCCAACGGACTACGTTCTTAGGGGTAGTATGGGATTCGACAACGATGCGGGCACAATTGTCTCCGGCACGTGTCGACACCATATTGGCTGCCGTGAAAAGGCCACCACGTCCTGGTTCGTTCCGACAACACAGCGGTGGTGGCCTATCTGAATCACCAGGGCGGTCTGCGCTCGCGCCCTCTGTACAGACTGGCGCGTCAGATCCTCCTGTGGTCCCAGCAGAGGTTACTATCGCTCAGGGCGATGTATCTCCCGGTGACGCAGAATCAGGGAGCAGACCTGCTGTCGAGGCAGGGGCTGAGGCCCGGGGAATGGAGACTTCACCCCGAAGTGGTGGAGCTCTTGTGCGAAGAGTTCGGCCCCATAGACGTGGATCTGTTTGCGTCTCAAGAGACTACACACTGCCCGCTATGGTTTTCTCTCATTCCTCCAGCCCCGTTGGGTCTGGACGCCATGGTACATTCGTGGCCGAGGCTACGTCTGTACGCTTTTCCCCCAGTTGCTCTGCTCCCGGGGGTTCTGGAGCGGGTCCGCCAGGACAATGTCGGCCTACTGCTCGTAGCCCTGTTCTGGCCAACCCGGGTGTGGTTCTCGGACATCATGTCGCTCCTGGACGGCCCGCCATCCCTCTGAGGAGAGACCTGCTGTCCCAGGCGCAGGGCTGGGTTCCTCACCCTTGCCCCGCCATATGGCGACTGTGGGTCTGGCCCCTGAGGGGGCACAGTACCTAGAGGCGGGTCTAACAGCCGGAGCAGTCGAGACCCTCCTGAGCTCCAGGGCCCCGTCCACACGGAGGATGTACGGCCTGAAGTGGAGTGTTTTCTCCACTTGGTGTAGGGAGCGGTCGGTGGACCCTGTTACCTGCCCGGTGGTTCAGGTACTGGAGTTCCTCCAGGACCGGTTCTCTGCTGGTCTTTCCCCTTCCACCCTCAAGGTGTACGTGGCAGCTATTTCGTCTTTCCACACACCTCTGAGGGAGGGGTCTTCCCTTGGTTGTACGTTTCCTCCGTGGTGCCCGGAGGATGAAACCTGCGACTCGGTCCAAGGTTCCCACTTGGGATCTGGCAGTGGTTCTTGGGGCGTTGGCTGAGGCCCCCTTCGAACACCTGGAGTCAGCTGAGGCTAAACACTTGACCCTCAAGATGGCCTTTCTCCTTGCTATCACCTTTCTGAGGGTGGGGGATCTCCAAGCGCTTTCGGTTTCCCCGCAAAGCCTGGAGTTTGCCCCGGGGAATATTAGGGCTATCCTGCACCCTCGTCCAGGATACATCCCTAAAGTGCCTTCTTGTGCGGCAGGGTCCACAGTGCTGCAGGCATTTCATCCTCCACCTCATGTGACGGCGGAGGACGGGAGACTTCATCTGCTCTGCCCTGTCAGAGCACTGAGTATTTACACTCTGAGGTCCTCCCGTTGGAGGAAGGCTGACCAGCTGCTAGTGTGTTTTGGGTCCCCCAGGGCTGGGCTCCCTGCATCCAAACATACTATTAGCAACTGGATTGTTCAGACTATTTCCCTGGCCTATCAGGTGCGCGGTTTGCCTTCACCTGTGGCTTTGAGGGCTCATTCTACCAGAGGCATGGCGGCCTCTCGAGCCCTCCTTTCCGGGGCCTCTTTGCAGGATGTTTGTTTAGCGGCTGGCTGGGCCACTCCGCACACCTTCCTTCGGCACCTGGCACTCGTGCGCTCTCCTCTTAGTTGTGCCACTTTATTGCACACTGGGGCAGGCGGGGTTTTCGGTACGGTTTAGTGGGTATCTCGTTCCCATAGTGTCGAAGGGGAACGTCTCGGGTTGCGTATGTAACCCTGGTTCCCCGAGAAGGGGTACGAGACACTGCGTCGGCCTGCCGCACCTCTCTCCCCGCCTGAAGCGCCTGCTTCATAGTTTAAGCTAATGATGAGTGTGTACAGGTGAGCTTTATACTCCTCCGGTTATTCCGTCACACCTTACCGTTCTAGCAACAAGCCAATAGGATTGGAGTGATTTCATTCACGTTCAGACCTGTTACATACGTAACCCGAGACGTTCGTTAGTGTTCCAGCTTGCTGTTACGACAGTCGTTACAGTCGTTAGGACTACCAGAGGCCAAGACTGAACAACCATTGCATGAAGAGCCCCCCCCCCGGATCCTTTTTGATATAAAATAATCAAACAATCACTGGCTTTGCATCAATAATCAATAAATCATCTCTTACTGTTTCTTTTGAATTCAAACTATTAAGAGCCGCAGTCAAGTCTGAACAAATAATTAATAATGCTCTCAGGTGTTACCTCTTCTATCCATTGTAATACAAAATTATAGTGACGATATCTGCTGTAAATATAGATAATCTATCAATAATTATTTTGCATTTGACTACATCAGACTTGGGGGTGTATGCTCCTGTTCCTACTTTACCTCCCCTTTTTGTATTCCAAACAAGAATACAGCACTTTTGTTGCAGGTTGTTTCTCTTCAGATCCCTTTAACTTAACCCAATATGCCAGTGACAACTTTGAACATCTCAAAAATAATGGCAATTCATAAACTTCCACCACCGGTGCATTAGTAGGAGTTGTTTTACCTGCATTTATACTGAATCTAGCTCTGACCAGTAGTCTGTCTAGTTTAACACTCTTGGCTGCTGCTCCATATACAATACACCCATAATCAAAATGTGATCGTATTAAAGGGTCAGTAGGTAAAATTACTCTTTACTGACAAACATACAGGTACGTTAGTACTATTAGCAAAATATATTCTATTCTGTTAAATAATTATTCAGAATGGCCTCCGTCAGTGCCAAATAATTATATATATTTTACATTAAATATTGACATGTCACATTTAAAGTGGCAGCTAGTACCTACTTTAAATCCTGTTGGATAGTTTAATAATGCATGTTATTTATGAGCTCATTGTAGTTTTTTTTATTATCTTAACCTGCATAGTATATATTTATCACTGTAGATATTTAATTAGACTTATGTGGTAATATAAAACAGTTATGTCAGTAACCCTCAAATGTAAAATCTGACATTTTAGTTCAGTTTATTTGCACAATAATGAAAACTGAAATGCATATAATAGAAAAAAAACTGTAAATACATTGCAGCAGAGTAAAGAAGAGTTAAAGGTTTATTCAGAGACATCCCCCATTTAAACAAATAAAAAAGGCATTATTACTCATCAAAAACAAAATGAACACATAGCAAAACAATGTTTGTATACACAAAACACACAGCACAAATAAAAAGAACCCGGCTGCTGTATATGTGCAGACTCTATACGCCCACTGCACATGATAACACATTATGCAGATTATTCACCCAACCAACATGTTTTCTGCATTAAAAATCAGTCGTCATTATAAGTCGTCAAATTAGTAGCAAAAATGTTCCAACAGCAGAAAAGCTTTATTAATGTAATTGTGAATGGGGTCACTGCATTTACTATAATAATATATAGTTATACTACAGCTTTAATGTTAATGCACATTTGATATGGTCTTCATATGTCTACATAAGGTATTGGCTGTTTTTATTTTTATGCAAACAGAAAGTTAATTTTTTTGTGGTCTTTAATATAAAGCTTGGTTTCAGTTAGTGTATCAGTACAAAAGCTTATCTTTTTACTGCAGATCCTGCAAAGCTACGGCTTCTTACCAGTGTGGCTTTTTATGTGGACTTTTAAGTGACCACTAGTTCTGAAATCTATTCCACATAATTCACAGTTATCCGGCCTCTCACCTGTGTGAATTCAATGCTGAAATGTTATCAAATCTGTTCCCACAGGTCTTGCAAGAGTGCGGCTTCCCACCTGTGTGGGTTCTTATGTGAAGTTTAAAGCCGTAGCTAGTTTTAAGATCTTTCCCATGTTTTGCAAGAATACAGCTTCTCACCTGTGTGGATTTTCACGTGTCCTTTCAATTCTGAAAGGACAACAAATCCTTTCCCACAAATCTTGCAAAGGTACGGCCTCTCACCAGTGTGAGTTCTTCTTATGTGAATTTTCAACTTAGTATTGTCTATGAAATCTTTTCCACATGTTTTGCAGGAATATGGCCTCTCACCTGTGTGGATCTTTATGTGGTCTTTCAAGTGATTCATACATCTGAAATCTTTCCCACATGTTTTACAAGAATATGGCCTCTCACCTGTGTGGATTCTCATGTGGTCTTTCAAGTGAGCCATCCGACTGAAATCTTTCCTACATGTTTTACAAGAATATGGCCTCTCACCTGTGTGGGTTCTCATGTGGACTTTCAAGTGAGCCATCTGACTGAAATCTTTCCCACATGTTTTACAAGAATATGGTTTCTCATCTGTGTGGGTTCTCATGTGGACATTCAAGATACCGCTAGTTCTAAAGTCTTTCCCACATGTTTTGCAAGAAAATGGTTTCTCACCCGTGTGGATTCTAATATGAGTCTTCAAATCTGATGTGCATCTGAATCTTTTCCCACAGCTGCTGCAAGAATATGGCTTCTCACCTGTGTGAATTCTCAGGTGTGTCTGCAATAGTGAGTTATATTTACAATCTTTTCCACATGTGTCACATTTTAAAGAGTTTTTACCTGTGTGAGGATTATGGTGAACCTCTGACATGGTAGACTTGTTTACATTGTTTCTGTGGCTTCTGCTTTTGTGATCTTGATTCTTTTGTTCTGGCTCTGCATCTCTAGTTGATCCTGAGTCTTCATGCTCGCCTCCTTTCTGATCTTGGCTCTCAGCTACATGACAGCTGTGAGAGAGGAGCTGGTGGTCACTTTTCAGTTCTGCTTCACTGTGGTCTCTTTCCTCATAAGTAGGAGTCAACATAAAGGTATCAGTCTCCTGCTTCAGTACAAGCTGCTCTCCCTCCTGACTGGTACAGAGTTCCTCCTGTTCCTCTTTAATCTGTGGAAGCTCTAGGTCCTCTTGGTCCAGACTGGAGTTCCTCTCCTGAATACAGAGCTGCTGGTCAGCCAGAACCTCCTCCTTCCAGACATGTTGCTGTGGGAGCTCTGGAGGGACAGAGAACAGAAGGAACAGGCTACTACTGGGATGGGAAAGAAAAAAAGGTGCAGACACGCAAGGAAATGAGCATTAGTATATATTTCAACAATTAGGATTTTATATCAAATGTGTTTTGTGTTACTAAAATAATGAAATTTTAACAAATGAAATAGGCTAAAGTTACTACTAGGGTTGCCAACCATCCCTTAAAATATAGAATCGTCCTGTATTTAGAAACTAAAAGACATGGCCCTCACTGAACAGATAGGGGACGGATTTTATTACTGCATTTTGAAAATAATAATAATGCAGCTCTGACTGCTCTCTCTCTCTCTCTGTCCGCAACCAATGAAAAGTGCTGTGTCAGTGTTGCTACAATATTCCAGTGACATGTCTTTCAAAAAACATGTATGACACTCCGCAGGTAGAAAAAGACAAAACGTTTACAGAAATATAGAGCAAAATTTAGAGCTAAAACTCCCATCAACTGAGCTTGAGCCTTATGCAATTGACACTTTTCACATCCTGTCACGCCACAAATCACAGCAGAGTATAGGGCAGGTAAACTCAATATTATGAATTATCATTAAATGATGACATTAGTTTCTTGGTGTAACAACTATTTTCTCAAAATGTCAGAGAGACAAAGATTTTGAATGTGCATAAGGTTTTAAACGAGCAGAAAACTTGCTGAAGCACAGGAAATAAGTTCTGTAGATTGAAAATGAATTAATTTTAATGATAAATTAATTCATTTTATATGTGAACAGGTTCCATTTAAAGGTTACTTCCCCTAACAAAGACACAACACAGGAGGGAAGATTAAATCATGAAAGAAAGACAGAAGTAGGCTACTGAATGCTTGGAAGCTTTCTATAAGCCTCCTGCACTAAATTCTGTTATATTTTTATATTTTAAATTGTTACCTGCAAATTGAGTTTTGTGTTTCCTTATACATAGGTTGGTGCAGAAAAGTAAGTGTTTAATGCTCAAAACTTTCTGGGGGAGAGTTCGGTAAAGTTGGAAATATATTCACAGATTCGTGTTTAAAACACAAACAACGCCTCTTTACTATCGTAGTTAAGTAGACAACAAGCTACAAGTACATTTTCATCTAAATGAGTCGTCGACGAGCGGCACAAATAACACTGGTCTCTACGGATGTGAGATGAGACCGCAGGGACCGTCTACAAATTGCAACACCGAAAACACATACTGCAGAAATAGTCAATAACTTCCCACTTATACAATGTAGTGCCCCCAAAATCACCTTACACATTCATGATATACTGATGGCTATACTACAACACTTAGTTCCGGGGGAAAATAATTTTGCATACCTAATATTAGGTTGGCCTATATTTAATATTCAATAATTACACTGATATAAGCTGTAATGTCTCCAATATCACCCCAGGCATCAGTGATCTCATGTTGATGATACTACAACACTTAGTATGTAGAAATGCTGTTTTGCATAATTTTGGAGAATTTTAATATTCAATAACTTCACTGTAATGAGCTGTAGTGTCTCCAAAATCACCTCACATGTCAGTGATCTCCTACAGTTAGTTTGCAGAAATATAGTTTTGCATAATTTCGGGGGAATTTTAATATTCAATAAAATTCAGTAACGTCACTGTTGTACTGTATATGAGCTGTATATGAGCTTATATGAGCTGTAGTGTCTTCAAACCTGTCAAATAGGAAGTTTTGCGTGTCTGTAAACAACTATGTCTCCTCATTCTGTCCAGTTAAATATGGTGTGCCTCAGGGGTCGGTCTTAGGACCCATTTTGTTTTCCTTGTATCTGCTTCCCCTTGGACATATTATCCATAAACATGGCATTTCTTTTCATATTTATGCTGATGACACACAAATATACTTGCCCGTCAGATCCACAGACAAATCAAATACTGCCATCTGCTGGTTCCCTAGTAAATCACATTAAGCCTGTGGCAAAGAACCTTGGTGTTTGGTTTGATAGTAATTTAAATTTCGAGAAGCACACCACAAAACTTGTTCAATCATGTTTTTATCAACTTAGAAATATAGCAAAAATTCAGTCTATGTTAACTTTAAGGACACCGAGACCATGTTACACGCCTTAATCTCATCACGCCTGGATTATTGCAACAGCCTTTTCACCTGTTTAACCCAAAAATCTACTGATCGACTCCAGACTGTCCAGAACTCAGCTGCCAGGCTTTTAACCAGAACAAAGAAACATTACTCCTATTTTAGCTTCATTACACTGGCTCCCAGTATGTTTTAGAATTGACTTTAAAATTCTATTGATCACTTTTAAAGCTCTTCATGGCCTCTCGCCTTATTATATTTCTGAACTTTTAGTCCCATACGCACCAGCACGTACCTTGAGATCCTCGGGGAGAGGTCTGTTGTCTGTTCCAGAGTCTCGACTGAAAACTAAAGGGGACAGAGAGTTTGCTGTCAGGGCCCCGAGGCTCTGGAACAGCCTGCCCGAGGAAATCAGGTCGGCTGAGTCAGTGAACTCTTTTAAGTCCCTTCTTAAAACATACTTTTATAGGAGAGCCTTTCCCGATCTTATTTGACTTTATTTTATCCCTTTTATTTTATTGTATTTTACTAATTATATATTAATTTTTCATGCTCTTATCTTGTTTTTTTTTTTTGTATTATTCTTTACACTTGTTAAAGCACTTTGTAACTTGTTTTTGAAAAGTGCTCTACATATAAGGATTATTATTATTATTATTATTAGTGTCTCAAAAATCAACACAGGCACCAGCAATCTCCTGCTTGTGATACTACAACACTTAGTTTGCAGAAATATCCACCCATCCTGCGTACATGGTCACGCTGGAACCTAAGCACAATTTAGGATCACCAATTAACTTAGCCTGCATGTCTTTGGATGGTGGGAGGAAGCCGGAGCACCCAGATACGGGGAGAACATGCAAACTCCACACAGAAAGGCCGGGGCGACCGGGGTTTGAACCCACGACTGTGTTGCTGTGAGGCGACAGCGCTAACAGTGCTCAATTAAAGTATAACCACAAGAGGTCGCCTGTCGGTTATATGGAAATAAGTTTTTGCATAGTTCGGGGAAATTTTAATCTTCGATAGCTTAACTGTTAAAAGCTGTAGTCTCTCCCAATATCATCCCACGCATCCATGGTCTCATTCTAGTTATGCTACAACACATATATACGGAATAACTGCATTTCCACAATTTGAGGGAATTTTAATATTCAATAAGTTCACTGTTATATAGAGTGTCTCCAAAATCACATCACACATCAGTGATCTCCTTAAGGTGATACTACAACACTTAAGAGAAAAAACAGCCTTTACAAATTTGGGGGAACTTTAATCTTCAATTACTACACTGTTATATAGTGTTTCTAAAATCATCTCACACGTCAATGGCATTCTGGTGTTTATGCAACAACAGTTAGTTTGGCGAAATGTTTCTTTTAATGGTTTTAATGTTTTGAAAGATTAAGTTTAGTCACTCCATTTTCACGATTACAGATTTTGGCTTTATTTTGATTAATTTGAACAAGAATCTCTTCAGCATTTAAAGCATATAAGGTGTCTTCCTTGCTTTCCTCAAAGTTATTCATCCCGGAAGTTCGAATCTGTGAATATATTTCCAACTTTACCGAACTCTGGGGGAGTAACGTTACCCTAAACCCTCCCACTTCAGGGTTAGGGTTAAGTGTCCCCCTCCACTCTTCTAGTTCTGTTCTCTAGAATGCAACAACTGTCAGACAACATGGATCAGGAGAGAATCAGAAAAGGAACGAGGAAACAGACACGCGACGAAAAGGATTTTTACACACCTATCCTGTGTAACTTTACTTCGGGTTTCCAAACGATATCCAGCAGTCTGCGCTGACGATCGATCTCTTCCTCGTACTCGACGATAGTTTTTATAAAAACTCGGAATATTTCTTCAGCAGCAGCAGTTAGTCGCTCGTTGACAAACTCTCTCAAACACTCAACTGAAGACATTGTTAATTAATCACAAATTAAATAATTAGCGACGCTACAACTGCAGTAAAGCCTTCCAGTGAATTCTACACACGGCTAACGCTGCCGCTTGGTTTGTTTACTTCCGCTGGATGTCACAATGTACAAGTTCCGACAGAAGAAGTGCCGGAGCTTTTCGTTCCGCTCTCAACTGATGGCAGAGTCAAAGCTTGGGTTTATTCAGCAGTGGTAGACAGTAAGAAAATACATATATTCAAGTACTGTACTGAACTACAAAATAGAGTTTTTTGTAGTTACTTGAGGATTTTCGTTCAGCTTTTTTTGCTTAAAATAACATAATAACAAAACTCTTGTAGGGGAAGAAAATATATATATATATGTATGAATAGGTAGACTACAATACAATCACTGTCTGTGCAAATGAAAGTCCTACATACACCGAACAATTAAAAAACAAACATAAAACAATAAACAGACAAAATCGGTGGTGTAGTGTTTAGCAGTGTTACCTCACAGCAATACGGCCTTGGGTTCAAGCCATGGTCCACCTGGCCTTTCTGTGTGGTGTTTGCATGTTCACCCTGCGTGGGTTCTGTCCGGGTGCTCTGGCTTCCTCCACCATCCAAAGACATGCAGGCTGGGCTGATTGGTGACTCTAAATTGTCCTTAGGTGTGATTGTGATTGTGGTTATTGATGTGTGGCCCCGCAATGGACTGGCAACCTGTCCAGTGTGTCCCCTGCCTTTCGCCTAATGCCATCATCCGACCCTGTACACAGGACAAGTAGTTGACAATGGATGGATGGAAACAGCCTACTAAAGGTCTGGAGAAAAGAAAAGAAAGCCTCATTTAGGCACAGAATAGGCCTACAGGGAGGGTGTTGGTCAAAATCGGATTGGATTACAATTGGAAACAGTTGCTGAAAACCTATATACATCGATATATTTCCAGCATACACACAAGGGAATCACTTTGTGTTGAAAAGTGGTGGGGACATTTAAGGGGATCCTCACCCAGAAGATTTTGAGCACTAAACAATTAATTTCCTGCATTATGGAGACATTTTCTGCATCAATTTATGGTAGAATTGTCTTTATTTACAGTATATGAAGGGGAACACAAAATGCAGGTGGCAGGTGACAATTCAGAATATAAAAATATAATGTGATCTCATAGCACTTACAGTACATTTCTTGTTGCAAGCTATTTTTCAGAACATTTTTAACAAATGCTTTTAAAAAGTGGTTGGGACAACATCAGCTATTTCAAAAAGTAATGGAGACATGTCCCCACTGTAATGACACCTATGCTTACACATCATTCTAGCAATGTTTCTAAACTTTACTTTTTTCAGTAAGGATTTTTTAATCGTTAATGAACCACGAAAAGGGAGGCTTAGAATATCTCGACTTACTACAATATATGTGATATTTACCCGTGAGAACAATCATATTCATCAAATCAGATAGAGATGGATCTACAGTGTCCGTATAAACAGGATATGTGATAAGTCAGACCTCAGGATATCAAGTGACAGCCACATATTTGGATTAGGCTATAAGTTTTTGGACATAGGACATAAATAGAATATTTGTTCCACAAGTGGATTACATTCTGACAAAAACTGCCTTGTTATGTTGGCAAAGGTCCAGATGATCCAATCCAATAAAATATATAGTCCAAAACGTATTATTTCAATAAATGCACTCAACATTCAGTTCAGTTTTGCCTATTTTATTTCCTGTAGGATAGTTTAATAATGCATATTTGTTATGAGCTCATAGTTTTTTTTATCTTAGGTATCACATACAGTATATGTTTAACACAGTAAATATTTAATTGGACTTCTTATATGGTTGTGTAAAACAGTGATGTCGGTAAGCCTCAAATGTAAAATCAGACTGTTCAGTTTAGTTTATTTGTACAGTAAAGAAAACAGAAATGCATATAATAGAAAAAAACTAATTACAGTGCAGGAGAGTAAAGAAGGCTAAAAGGCCTATTCAGAGTCCTTCCCCATTTAAACAAATGAGCAGCAGTGAAATAAAAAGAACACAGAAGTTAGATGACCCGAGTCATGTCGTGTCATTCATGTAACATGCAACACTTTCTAGAGACAGAATCAGAGTTGATCCTGATCGACAGCTGCGTCAGACAGTAGAACGAACAGACAGAGAGGAGAGACAGAGTTTGACCTGTTTTAGAGAGTCACAGGATGTCACCTTTGGCTTACTATAGCTCAGCAAATGACCCTTACATGACCTGGGGAAACCTGTGTGATATTAGCCTTAATGAAGGAGAAATTCCTTCACAATAAGTAATACAGTCACATGAAGGGAAACTTTACACTAAGAAATTTACATTTCACATCAGTTGAGAGATGCAGTTATTGCAAAAATATGTATTTCATTCACAGGTGCACGTGTCCACAGGAGTTTCAGCTGGTTGTTTTGTCCTCTGTATATTGTTCCTCAGGCATTTTTTCCAGCGTGTGATTTCAGTTACTTGCCTGTATGTGATCTACTATGCCATTTCAAATTCCAAAAAGCATTTATTTTCCAGCAGATCATGCAAAGCTAGTGCTTCTCACCAGTGTGGGTTTTTAAGTGGACTTTTAAGTGACCGCTAGTTCTACCTTTTCCACATGGTTCAAAGTTATACGGCCTCTCACCTGTGTGAATTCTTAAGTGTGTTGTCAATGCTGAAGGGTCACAGAATTTTTTCCCGCAGGTAGCACAGCTTGTGCTGTGTGGATTATCATATGGACTTTCAAGCAACAGCTAGTTTTCAAATCTTTCCCACATGTTGTGCAAGATTATTGTTTCTCAACTCTGTGGATTTTCATGTGTGCTTTCAATGCTGAAGCGACAACAAATCTTTTACCGCAGGTCTTGCAAAGATACGGCTTCTCGCCAGTGTGAGCTCTTATGTGATTTTTTAACTTAGCATTCCCTATAAAATCTTTTCCACATATTTTGCAGGAAAATGGCTTCTCACCTGTGTGGATTCTTATGTGGTCTTTCAAGTGACTGCTAGTTCTGAAGCGTTTTCCACATGTTGTGCAAGGATATGGCCTCTCACCTGTGTGGATTCTTATGTGGTCTTTCAAGTAACTGACAGTTCTGAAATCTTTCCCACATGTTGTGCAAGGATATGGCCTCTCACCTGTATGGATTCTCATGTGGCTTTCCAAATGTACCTTCTGACTGAAATCTTTCCCACATGTTTTACAAGAAAATGGCTTCTCATCTGTGTGGGTTCTCATGTGGATATTCAAGACACTGTTGGTTCTAAAGTCTTTTCCACATGTTTTGCAAGAATATGGTTTCTCACCTGTGTGGATTCTTATATGAATGTTCAAATCTGATTTGTTTCTGTATCTTTTCCCACAGCTGCTGCAAGAATATGGCTTCACAAGTGTGTGAATTCTCAGGTGTGTCTGCAATAGTGACTTATACTTAAAGTATTTTCCACATGTGTCACATTTTAAAGAGTTTTCACCTGTGTGAGGATTATGGTGACCCTCTGACATGGTAGAGTTGTTTACATTGTTTCTGTGGCTTCTGCTTTTGTGATCTTGATTCTTTTGTTCTGGCTCTGCATCTCTAGTTGATCCTGCGTCTTCATGCTCGCCTCCTTTCTGATCTTGGCTCTCAGCTACATGACAGCTGTGAGAGAGGAGCTGGTGGTCACTTTTCAGTTCTGCTTCACTGTGGTCTCTTTCCTCATAAGTAGGAGTCAACATAAAGGTATCAGTCTCCTGCTTCAGTACAAGCTGCTCTCCCTCCTGACTGGTACAGAGTTCCTCCTGTTCCTCTTTAATCTGTGGAGGCTCTGGGTCCTCTTGGTCCAGACTGGAGTTCCTCTCCTGAATACAGAGCTGCTGGTCAGCCAGAACCTCCTCCTCCTTCCAGACATGTTGCTGTGGGAGCTCTGGAGGGACAGACAACAGAAGGAACAGGCTACTACTGGGATGGGAAAGAAAAGGATGCAGACACATGAGGAAATGAGTTTAAACGTTATATATTTTTATTTTAAATATCTTTTTCTGTTGTGTTATTAAAATAATGAGGCTTTCCTCACCTATCCTGTGTAACTTTACTTCGGGTTTCCAAACGATATCCAGCAGTCTGCGCTGACGATCGATCTCTTCTTCGTACTCGACGATAGTTTTTATAAAAACTCGGAATATTTCTTCAGCAGCAGCAGTTAGTCGCTCGCTGACAAACTCTCTCAAACACTCAACTGAAGACATTGTTAATTAATCACAAATGAAATAATTAGCGGCGCTACAACTGCAGTAAAGCCTTCCAGTGAATTCTACACACGGCTAACGCTGCCGCTTGGTTTGTTTACTTCCGCTGAATGTCACACTCTTTAAGTTCCGACAGTGGATGTGCCGGAGCTTTTCGTTCCGCTCTCAACTGATGCCATTTTATTCAAAGCTTGGGTTTATTCAGAAGCGGTGGACAGTAACTAAGTATATTTACTTATGTACAAATTAGAGTTATTTGTACGTTACTTGCGGATTTTCTTTAAAATACAGATACACAATTCTTGTAAGGGAAGAAAAAATCATTTATAAATAGGTAGACTACAATACAATCACTGTCTGTGAAAATAAAAGAAAGAGTCCTACATACGCCGAACAACAAAAAAATACAAGAACAGAAAAAAAATCGGTGGTGCAGTGGTTAGCACTACTGCCTCAACCGCATTAAGGTGCTGGGTTCAAACCATGGTCCTCCCAGGCCTTTCTGTGTGGAGTTTGCATGTTCTCCCTGTGGGTTCTCTCCAGGTGCTCCGTCTTCCTCCCACCATCCAAAGACATGCAGGCTAGGTTAATTTGTCAGCCTAAATTGTCCTTAGGTGTGAGTGGTTGTTTGTCTATGTGTGGACCTGCGATGGACTGGCAACCTGTCCAGGGTCTCCCCTGCCTTTTGCCTGATGTCAAGTGGGATTGGCTCAATCTTAAGTGACAGCCAATTATGTAGATTAGACTACAAGTTTTTGGACATAGGACACAAAAATAGAACATAGGACACAAAAATAGAACATTTGTTCCAAAATATCCTCAGCTGCCTCACAAAATACACACAAATCTACTTCAAAGTTAAACTTTTTCCTAAGAAAGTCTGCAACTGGATATTTTATAAATTATTTTGAAGTGAGTTTCTTTGATTTTAGGGGAGATGGGCCATCTGATGAATTTGAAATGTGATTTATATATGGACAAGGTATTCATATTTGGAACATGTACACACAATCCTCAATTATAATCAAAAACACTATATAGCTATAATAATGGTTGTGGAAATCAATATGTTCCAAGAAGTTACCACTATCATCTGATATACAGTATAACTCACAAACACAATGCCCTTCTCATACCAATCATTCTTAGACAATGATTTCCTATTGATTGTAATGACCCTGTTATTTCACAGGTTGGATCCGTGGGGAGAAAAGTTGTGGGTAAATATAATTTTACAGTCCTGAAGAGGTTGTGGAAGTTTGATAATTTAATAGGAATATTGGTCAATTTAAAATCACATTGTAACTAAAAATTAAGCCCACGTATTTTCTTATTTAAGGATTTGGGCATGTGAAACCACATAGAGTCTTTTAAGGGTCCCAAACATTGATTCAAAGTCCAAAGCTTTGATGCACCCTTTCAAACTCTTTGACTAGCTCTGACTACCGAATATGATGAGTTTTATTTTTCCAAAGGAACTGGAAAATAATTGAGCTGTTTTTTCTAAGCATTATTAGAATAGACGCACAGGGAGTGACACGTATACATTACTTTGGAAATACCTACTGTTTTAGATAGCATGACTCTACAGAAGTGAGTGAGGTCTCTGGTTAGCCAGTGACTAAGTGCGTTTTTCAAATCTATTAATCGGTCAGAGAAAAATTGATATCTTACCTCCTGTCGTGATGTTATATTCCTGGTGAAGGATTGAGCAAAAAATTGAGTAACAACTAACCGTTGTCTTTGAAGAATTTATTAACAAAACAGAAGTACTAAAATACATATACAGCTGGTCCAGAGACCTGCTTCCTAGGGCAGCTTCGGGCGTCTGGCCCCGAGCAAAGGGATGCATCATCATTTACACAGTCTAGGTTTCTATGTTTTGGGGAACAGAGATCCTCTCTCAGCCTTGATTGAACATTCCAGGAGAGGAGAGGAGAGGAACAACAAGAGAGGAAAACACCAAAACAATCTCACAGCTCTGACCTAAACCCTAGTAAATGTGGACGGACTAATATAAGGAGTATAGGAGAGGAAAGGTTAAGGATAAAAAACACAATACATATATATCTATATGCCGTTCAGTTTAGTTTATTTGCACAATTATGAACAGAAATGCATAATAGAAAAAAAACCCAGTAATTACAGTGCAGGAGAGTAAAGAAGACTAAAAGGCCTATTCAGATTCCTTCACCATTTAAACAAATGAGCAGCAGTGAAATAAAAAGAACACAGAAAAACAAAAGTAGAAGTTAGTTGACCTGAGTCACGTGTCATTCAAGACACATGCAACACTTTCTAGAGACAGCCAGTCAGTCTGTCTGTAAGGGGAAACAAAATAAAGATCATCTGGACCTTGGGTTACCGTAAGAATCAGAGTTGATCCTGATCAAGGCAGCTGCGTCAGACAGTCAACCAAACAGACAGAGAGGAGAGACAGAGTCTGACCTACTGTTTTAGACTCACAGGATGCCACCTTCGGTTTCCTGTAGCTCAGCAAATGACCTCGACATGACCTAGGAAAACCTGTGTGATATTTGCCTTAATGAAAGAGAAATTCCCTCACAATAAGTAATACAGTCACAGGAAGGGAAACTTTACACTAACACATGGACATCTCATTTCAAGAAACACATTTTACATTCAGTTGAAAGATATAGCTATAGCAAAAATACATTTCATTCACAAGTGTACACATCTCTACAGGAGATGGTCCCTCCCCTGTCTATTGATCCTTGGGTGTTTTCTCAAATTTGTGATTTGAGTTACTTGCCTGAAGGGATGAAACGGTTACCAGTTTATGGATGGACCATGATAAAATTCCCAATGGTTAGTATTACTGTACAAATTTTCATTATTATGATAACCGTGTTTGATTAACACGTTTTGACAAACTTACGGTAAATACTGTTCAGCATCAACCAAAGGCTGTTTGCTATTTTTATGCTGAAGCAAAAGGAATAAAAGGTTAATTTTATTTGTGGTCGTCAATATAAAACTTGGTTTCAGTGTTTATCAGTACTTTTTGATCATTTTAAGCATATTGATAATACTGATAACTTTGGTCACTATAATCGTGTTAAGAAATGTTCATACCGTTTCTCCTCTACTTCCCTGTATGCGAGCTTCTGTGCCGTGACACATTATACGCAAAAGTTTATCTTTTTACTGCAGATCCTGCAAAGCTACGGCTTCTTACCAGTGTGGCTTTTTATGTGGACTTTTAAGTGACCACTAGTTCTGAAATCTATTCCACATGTTTCACAGTTATCCGGACTCTCACCTGTGTGAATTCTTACGTGTGTTGTCAATGCTGAAATGTTGTAAAATCTGTTCCCACAGGTCTTTCAAGACTATGGTATCTCACCTGTGTGGATTCTTATGTGGTCTTTCAATTGAGTCATCTGACTGAAATCTTTCCCACATGTATTACAAGAAAATGGCCTCTCATCTGTGTGGATTTTCATGTGTGCTTTCAATTCTGATAGGATAACAAATCCTTTCCCACAAATCTTGCAAAGATGCGGCCTTTCTCCGGTGTGAGCTCTTTTTATGTGAATTTCCAACTTAGCATTCCTTATGAAATTTTTTCCACATGTTTTGCAGGAATATGGCCTCTCACCTGTGTGGATTCTTATGTGGTCTTTCAAGTGACCCCTCAGTCTGAAATCTTTCCCACATGTATTACAAGAAAATGGCTTCTCATCTGTGTGGATTTTCATGTGTGCTTTCAATTGAGTCATCTGACTGAAATCTTTCCCACATGTTTCACAAGAAAATGGCCTCTCATCTATGTGGATTTTCATGTGTGCTTTCAAGTGACCCCTCCGTCTGAAATCTTTCCCACATGTATTACAAGAAAATGGCTTCTCATCTGTGTGGATTTTCATGTGTGCTTTCAAGTGAGTCATCTGACTGAAATCTTTTCCACATGTTTTGCAAGAATAAGGCTTCTCATCTGTGTGGATTCTCATGTGGACTTTCAAGTGAGTCATCCGACTGAAATCTTTCCCACATTTTTTACAAGAATATGGTTTCTCACCTGTGTGGATTCTCATGTGGACTTTCAAGTTAGTCATCTGACTGAAATCTTTCCCACATGTTTTACAAGAGAATGGCCTCTCATCTGTGTGGGTTCTCATGTGGTCTTTCAAGTGAGTCATCCGACTGAAATCTTTCCCACATGTTTTGCAAGAAAATGGTTTCTCACCCGTGTGGATTCTAATATGAGTCTTCAAATCTGATGTGTATCTGAATCTTTTCCCACAGCTGCTGCAAGAATATGGCTTCTCACCTGTGTGGATTCTCAGGTGTGTCTGCAATCCTGACTTATATTTAAAGTATTTACCACATGTGTCACATTTGAAAGAGTTTTCACCTGTGTGAGGATTATGGTGAACCTCTGACATGGTAGAGTTGTTTACATTGTTTCTGTGGCTTCTGCTTTTGTGATCTTGATTCTTTTGTTCTGGCTCTGCATCTCTAGTTGATCCTGCGTCTTCATGCTCACCTCCTTTCTGATCTTGGCTCTCAGCTACATGACAGCTGTGAGAGAGGAGCTGGTGGTCACTTTTCAGTTCTGCTTCACTGTGGTCTCTTTCCTCATAAGTAGGAGTCAACATAAAGGTATCAGTCTCCTGCTTCAGTACAAGCTGCTCTCCCTCCTGACTGGTGCAGAGTTCCTCCTGTTCCTCTTTAATCTGTGGAGGCTCTGGGTCCTCTTGGTCCAGACTGGAGTTCCTCTCCTGAATACAGAGCTGCTGGTCAGCCAGAACCTCCTCCTCCTTCCAGACATGTTGCTGTGGGAGCTCTGGAGGGACAGACAACAGAAGGAACAGGCTACTACTGGGATGGGAAAGAAAAGGATGCAGACACACAGGAGCACCAGTATGTATTAGTGTGTTTTTGGGACCTTTTGGCAATCATTCTGTGTGTTGCTTTGAGCTTTCTCTTTAGGTTCAGTCTTCTGGCACGCCACCATTGGTCTAAACTCCACCTCAGTCATTACCCTCAGCACCATGGCAACAGCCAGAGACAGAGCAGCAGCTTGCTCTTCAACAGTAGCACATGGCGCCTCAACAGTGTAAAAAAATTTTTAAATTGAATCAATGATAATGAGAACAACATACGATAATGAAACTGCTGTAACTATAATTAATATTATACCAGTGGTAAGCTACATAGAACACTATTATCTGAAATTAAAATGAACCATTAGCTTTAATCAAACCCTAAAGACAGAATGCCCTTTTATTTGTGACTCAGCTGAATCTCAACTAATACACTGCTGAAATATTAGAAATAGGACTACAATAAACAACCTGTAGGAAGACAGCCAAATAAAGTTTAACATTTAATATATTAATACTATACCAACATTTAACATTTTTAGTGTTTTAATATTGCATATTAGTAAAACACTAATTTATAGTAGTTACTCCTCCAAAGGAGCCTCTGCCTATAAGGACTTGAATCCTCTTCAGCCCCAACCTTCCACCCACTGCGGGTGTCTGTCCGCACTGTCCTCTTTTTTGAAAACCAAAATACGGTGTCCCTCGTATATATTTAAACACTTTGGATATTATATAAATATGATTCTCTGTTTTGTTACTATAATAATAATCTCACCTGTCCTGTGTAACTTTATTTCGGGTTTCCAAACGATATCCAGCAGTCTGCGCTGACGATCGATCTCTTCCTCGTACTCGACGATAGTTTTTATAAAAACTCGGAATATTTCTTCAGCAGCAGCAGTTAGTCGCTCGTTGACAAACTCTCTCAAACACTCAGCTGAAGACATTGTTGCTTAATTACCTATGAAATAAGTAGCGGCGCCACGACTGCAATAAAGCCTTCCAGTGTATTCTACACATGTGGTTAAAACTGGCGCTTGGTTTGTTTACTTCCGCTGGATGTCACACTGTTAAGTTCCGACAGTAGAAGTAAGGGAGCCTTTCGTTCCGCTTTCAGCTGATGGCATTTTACACTTTTGTTTGACAGTAATGGTGGAAATACGCAGCAAGCTATAGCCATCATTTCACCGTCTAGGTAAACTATAGACCTGATTTAGTCCGGCTATGCGGAACCCACTTCTAACCACAATAACCTTCCATTTGGATAAGAAGTTACAAGGTTTGATTTTATTTTCTCATTTCTCACTCAGCCTTTGACTTTTGACACTAACCTATATTTATTGCAAATCATCCAGCATACAGTCAGAAAAGCACAACAAAACATATTCAGAACAGAACACCTACATTTACAGCACATATTGCTCTTAGAATAAAAGCAGCCTTCTCAATTGTCTATTTTGTTTTTCAAATGCAACATGGTGGCTAAAACATGTGCCTATCCTTATATGTTGTCTGCGAAATAAGTGGGTCACTAATAAAGAAGGGCTTTAAATTAAGGGGGGAAATTAAGTTATAAATAAATTTATAAAAACTTAATTAGAATAATTAAATACAGAATATGTTTCAGACCGTACATTTTTAATTGGACTTCTTATATGGTAATATAAAACAGTGATGACAGTAACCCTCGAATGTAAAATCTGTCTGTTCAGTTTAGTTTATTTGCACAATAATGAAAACAGACACAGATACATATAAAAGAATATAACAGTAATCATTGCGCAGGACAGAAATAAAGCGTGAAAGGCTTATTCAGAGTCTTTCCCCATTTAAAAAAATAAAAATTTGCATTATTACTTATCAAAAACAAATAACTACACATAGTGGAACAATATGGGTATACACAAAACACAAAAATAAGTATAAACAGCAGTCAAATAAAAAGAACACAGAAAAACAAACCGAGAAGGTAGCTGACCTAAGTTATGCTATGTATCATTCAAGTAACATGCAACACTTTAAAGAAAGAAACAAAATAAAGATCCTCTGGGGCCCAGTTGTTCAAAAAATGTAATCACGATCAGAATGATCCGGATTTGGAAATCCCATATTTTGCTATCCAGTCTCACGTAATCCATCTTGCTTTTGTGCCGGTTTTCAAAGCAATATTGGAGTGGATCACCCTGATCCAGATACAAACTTTTCAAGATTACCAAATCCGGATTACCAGTGCTCTAAATGGGACTAAACATATCACATTGTAGTCTGTTAATGATATAAAGACCAAGAGGTAGAACAGACAGCCTGGGGTCACTTTTATTTAAAGAGACATCTTCATCATCATCATCATCTGACCCACACCTAATTCAAGAATATCAAACAAATAAACATTATTCACAGATACACTGTGGATATTTTGAACATATGTTGTAAATCCTAAAAAGTCTCAATGTCCAAGAGTTAAAATAAAGATTGTTTAGAGTTCATAGAGCAGCTTTTAGCTTTTTGGAGGCGATCTCAGAATGAGGGACCTGCAATGAGGGATGCAATCGTTACAAACTTTTGATTGGTTGCCCTCCCTTCAATTCACCTGCCGAATGTCTGCTCTCTGGCCAACAAAATGGACGAACTGCTCCTCAACAGAACTAACTCAGACTTCTGCAGATCTGCCGCCCTCTGTTTTACCGAATCCTGGTTCACCGAGTGTATCCCGGACAGCGCACTTCACCTACCGGGATTTAATCTCATCCGCGCGGAGTGCGAAAGGGAGCTCACAGGAAAAACACGGGGAGGCGGACTCTGTTACTATATAAACGAAGGTTGGTGCACAGATGTCAGTGTTCATCAATCATGCAGGCCTCACTTAGACATTATTTATAAACTACAAACCGTTTTATTCACTGTGGGAGTTTTCCTCGTTTGTTCTGGTCGCTGTTTACATTCCACCTCAGGCCTGTGTTAGTGAGGCGTTACTACACCTGGCCGACCAGATAACTAACGTGGAGGAAAAACATCCAGACGCCCTGCTCATAGTTCTTGGGGACTTTAACAAAGCAAACTTTAGTCATGAACTTCCAAAATAAAGACAGCATATTAAGTGTCCCACCAGGGACACTAACACACTGGACCACTGCTACACAACATTAAAGGACGCCTATCGATCTGTTCCCCGTGCAGCCTTGGGACTCTCTGATCACTGTCTGGTTCATCTTATCCCGACACACAGGCAAAAACTGAAATCTGCTAAACCTGTTGTAAAGACTGTGAAAACATGGACCAACGAGTCAAAGCTGGAGTTACAGGCCTGCATTCACTGCACTGACTGGAGTGTTTTTGAGGCTGCAGCCACTGACCTGGACGAACTAACCGACACTGTGACATCTTACATCAGCCAACCAAAAACCCCCTGTTCAAAAGCTAAATAACAGCTTTGCAGCCAACGACCATGCGTCATTGTGGAGAAGCCTACGGACACTCACAAACTACAAGAGACCATCCCCCAACACTGTTGGTACTCAACGACTGGCAGACGAGCTGAATGGTTTCTACTGTAGGTTTGAAAAGCCCAGAGTCACACCTCTCCCCCACTCCAACGCCATCTTCAAACAGTCACCTTCCCCCTCTGAGCTCTCACCTGCACTCAAGATCTGTGAAGAGGACGTGAGCCACCTCTTCAAGATCAGGAAGGCTCCTGGACCTGACGGTGTCTCACCATCGTGCCTGAAAATCTGTGCGGACCAGCTGGCCCCCATCTTCACTCAGATCTTCAACAAATCACTGGAGCTGAGTGAAGTTCCCTCCTGCTTCAAACGCTCCACAGTCATCCCGGTCCCCAAAAGCCCTCCATCTCTGGACTGAATGACTACAGGCCCGTCGCCCTGACATCTGTAGTCATGAAGTCCTTTGAAAGACTGGTGTTGGCCCACCTGAAGGACAATACAACCCCCCTGCTGGACCCCCTGCAGTTTGCCTACAGGGCTACAGGTCAGTGGATGATGCTGTCAACTTGGGTCTGCATCACATCCTGCAACACCTCGACTCTCCAGGGACATATGCAAGGATCCTGTTCGTGGACTTCAGCTCAGCGTTCAACACCATCATCCCGGACATCCTCAGCACCAAACTCACTGTGCCAGCCTCCACCTGTCAGTGGATCACAGACTTCCTGACTGACAGGAGTCAGCAGGTGAGGCTGGGAAACATCACATCCAGCACCCGGACTATCAGCACTGGCGCCCCCCAGGGGTGTGTGCTCTCCCCACTGCTCTTCTCCCTCTACACCAACGACTGCACCCCAGGAGACCCATCTGTCAAACTCCTGAAGTTCGCTGACGACACAACGGTCATCGGCCTCATCCGGGATGGTGATGAGTCGGCCTACAGACGGGAGGTTGATCAGCTGGCTCTCTGGTGCTGCCAGAACAACCTGGATCTTAACACGCTCAAAACTGGGTTCCACTATATCCCAGGACCTGACGTGGGAGCCCAACACTGACACCATCATCAAGATGGCCCAGCAGAGGATGTACTTCCTGCGTCAGCTCAGGAAGCTCAACCTGCCTAAGGAGCTGCTGATCCACTTCTACACAGCCATCATCCAGTCTGTCCTCTGCACCTCCATCGCTGTCTGGTTTGGATCTACCAGCAAAAAGGACAGGAGCAGACTACAACAGACAGTCAGGACTGCAGAAAAAATCATTGGTGCCAACCTGCCCTCCATTCAGGACTTATACATTTCCAGAGTCAGGAAACATCACTGCAGATCCATCTCACCTCGGACACAATCTGTTCCAGCTTCTCCCCTCTGGTAGGCGCTACAGAGCACTGTACGCCAAAACCAACAGATTCAGGAACAGTTTCTTCCCACAAGCCATCACTCTGATGAACAGCTGATTTCTGACACACAGTGTCAGGAACAATTCCTGTGCAATAACCCAGTAACTCTGTCTCTAATCAGCCACCTGTTTACTGGTTTCACTTATTATTATTCACCATTCTCTGTTTCAGTGCTGTTCATACTACGTCATATTGTACATACTGTATACTAATACACCTACCTCAGGTCATAAGGTCATAGGTCTTGTTTATTTTTTCCAGCATCCTTTGATGTTCCATCACACTGTGTACATGTATGCATGTATGTGTACCTGTATATCATATCCACGTTCAACATGTACATAATGAAAATAGTTTACTCTAGCATCCTTTGCACTCTGATTACTGCACTATTTGTCAATATGTCTATAGTTGGGGGGGGGGGGGGGTAGCCCATTTAGATTTTTTTCCCCCCAATAAATATGTTTGACAGGGAATCTGTTGCAAACAGGAATAAATATACTATATTATACGGTATTTATTTATTGAAAAAAAACAAAAAAAAAACACAAGCATCCCAGAAAAAAAGGGCAGGTGCTGAAGCCCCTTTTGATGTCTATGTGTGGACGTGCCTGTCCAGATTACACTTTTTGAACAACCGGGCCCTGGACCTTGGGTCACCAAGAGAATGGATCACAGAGTTCATCCTGATCAAGGCAGCAGCGTCAGACAGTCAACTGAACAGACAGAGAGGAGACAGAATCTGACCTGTTTTAGAGAGTCACAGGATGTCACCTTCGGTTTGCTGTAGTTCAGCAAATAACCCTTATATGACCTGGGGAAACCTGTTTGATATTAGCCTTACTGAAGGAGAAATTCCTTTACAATAAGTAATACAGTCACATGAAGGGAAACTTTACACTAAGAAACTGATGTCTCATTTTTTGGAAATTATTTTACATTCAGTTGAGAGATGTAGCTATTGCAAAAGTATATTTCATTCACAGGTGAACACGTCTCCACAGGAGTTTCAGCTGGATGCTTTCTCCTCCTGTCTATTGATCCTCGTGTGTTTTTTTTTTTCATGTATGATTTAAGTTACTTGCCTGTATGCGGTGCCATTTCAAATTAGACACAAAAGCTTATCTTTTTACTGCAGATTATGCAAAGCTATGGCTTAACACCAGTGTGGGTTTTTATGTGGACTTTTAAGTGACCACTAGTTCTGAAATCCATTCCACATGTTTCACAGTTAAACGGCTTCTCTCCTGTGTGAATTCTTACGTGTGATGTCAATGCTGAAATGTTATGGAATCTGTTCCCACATGTTTTGCAACAGAATGGCTTCTCACCTGTGTGGGCTCTCATGTGGAGTTTCAAGCCATAGCTAGTTTTAAGATCTTTCCCACATGTTGTACAAGAATACAGTTTCTCCCCTGTGTGGGTTCTCATGTGGACTTTCAAGCAGTAGCTTGTTCGAAAATCTTTCCACATGTTTTGCAAGGATACGGTTTCTCACCTGTGTGGATTCTTATGTGTGCTTTCAATGCTGAAGTGACAACAAATCCTTTCCCGCAGGTCTTGCAAAGGTATGGCTTCTCACCAGTGTGAGCTCTTCTTATGTGAATTTTCAACTTAGTACTCTCTATGAAATTCTTTCCACATGTTTTGCAGGAATAAGGCCTCTCACCTGTGTGGATTCTTATGTGGTCGTTCAAGTGAGCCAACCGTCTGAAAGATTTCCCACATGTTTTACAAGAAAATGGTTTCTCAGCTGTGTGGGTTCTCATGTGGACTTTCAAGTGACTGCTAGTTCTGAAATCTTTCCCACATGTTTTACAAGAAAATGGTTTCTCAGCTGTGCGGGTTCTTATTGAGCATTCAAATCTGATGTGTTACTCAATCTTTTTCCACAGCTGCTGCAAGAATATGGCTTCTCATCTGTGTGAATTCTCATATGTGTCTGCAATATTGACACATAGTTGAAGTCTTTTACACATGTGTCACATTTGAAAGAGTTTTTGTGAGAGAGGAGCTGGTGGTCACTTTTCAGTTCTGCTTCACTGTGGTCTCTTTCCTCATAAGTAGGAGTCAACATAAAGGTATCAGTCTCCTGCTTCAGTACAAGCTGCTCTCCCTCCTGACTGGTACAGAGTTCCTCCTGTTCCTCTTTAATCTGTGGAGGCTCTGGGTCCTCTTGGTCCAGACTGGAGTTCCTCTCCTGAATACAGAGCTGCTGGTCAGCCAGAACCTCCTCCTCCTTCCAGACATGTTGCTGTGGGAGCTCTGGAGGGACAGAGAACAGAAGGAACAGGCTACTACTGGGATGGGAAAGAAAAAAACATGCAGACACGTGAGGAAATGAGTACCAGTATATATTAGAGTGTCCCTTTTTTGGGATCTTTTGGCAATCAAGTGTGCGTTGCTTTGATCTTTCTCGTTAGGTCCCACCTCAGTCATTACCCTCAGCACCATGGCAACAGCCAGAGACAGATCAGCAGTTTGCTTTTCAACAGTGGCACATGGCGCTTCAACAGTGTAAAAAACACCCAAACGCAGTGCTTGAAGTGGCCCGGTACTCAACGGTACATTTTACTCTTTGTGTACAGGGACTTTTTTTCTGCACTTCTCAAAAGCTGCCAGTACTTTTTTCTGCCAGGAGCAGGGAGAAGATTGTGTGTGTTTTTTATTCAAGCATGTGCATAAAGTTTCCCATTAATGGCACTTTTCTTGAACCGACCAATCACAGCCTGGCTGGGGCCTGGTTTGCTACAGCAAACTTTAGAAATGTTGAACTGATTTTATGTGAATGTTTGATTATTGACAAGTTAGCACTCAGCAGCATTAACAAATTAGAGTATAACCACTACATAGAGCATATACTTGCTGTATTTTCATTGAATGAGAACAACATACGATAATGAAACTGCTGTAACTAGAATTAATAATATACTAGTGGTAATCTATATAGGACACTTATCTGAAATTATACTGAAACATCATCCCTAATCAAACCTTAACAATACAGAATAGGGTTTCATTTGTGACTCAGTTGAATCTCAACTAATAAGCTGCTGAAATGTTAGAAATAGGACTACAATGAAGAACCTGTAGGAAGACCGGCAGATAAAGTTTAACCTATTAATATAATAGTATTATAGCAACATTAAACTTTCAGTATTATAATATTGCAGTTATACAGTAATATACGATACTAAAACATTACACACAAATTACCTGAATCTTCTTTAGCTCCAACCTTTCAACCACAGCGGGTGTCGTCTGCCCGCACTGTCCTCTTTTTTGAAAACCAAAATATGGTCACCCTAGTATATAATAAACACTTTGGATTATATATATATATATATATATATATATATATATCCCTTTTTCTGTTACTAAAATAATGAAGCTTTACACACCTGTCCTGTGTAGCTTTATGTCGGGTTTCCAAACGATATCCAGCAGTCTGCGCTGACGATCGATCTCTTCCTCGTACTCGACGATAGTTTTTTTTAAAACTCCGAATATTTCTTCAGCAGCAGCAGTTAGTCGCTCGTTGACAAACTCTCTCAAACTCTCAACTGAAGACATTGCTGCTCAGTTACAAAAGTAATAATTAGCGGAACTACAACTACAATAAAATCTTCCAGCGAATCCAGCACACGCGGCTAACTCTGGCGTTTGTTTACTTCCGCTGGATGTCACACTGTTATGCTCCGACAGTAGCAGTGCAGGAGCTTTTCGTTCCGCTTTTTTCTGATTTTATTCAAAACTTGTGATAATTATCAGTAGTGGTGGACAGTAAGTATAATGTATATTTAGTTCAGTACTGTACGTAAGAAAAAATTATTGGTAATTGTACTTTCCATGTCGATTTTCTTTCCGCTTTCAACTGTTTGAAATGAATGATTTTCTCTTCCGTTTCTTTTCCTAAAACTGTCCAAATATCCTGACAGTAATGCATGAGACAGATAATGTAACAGCTAAGCCTAAACTTAAAGCAGCTGATGGCTACACAGAGGGTTAAGGTAGTTGACGCGCAGCACCTTTGTTCCGTTTAGAAAGAATGCAACAAGAGTTCAACTTCTGCTTTCTTCTCTGTCATGATGAGAGATATGATTTATTGTTGCACATGCGGTCTTCAACATCCATAATGATACAATATTCCTTCTCCATTGACAGTCTCCTAATATACATCAAACAAACAGTCACAGCTGCTGCATCGTTGGCAGTCAAAAACTAGTTGGCTTTTCCCCTCTGGCAACATTGCCCCTGCCCTCCTAAGTAGATGAGCCCCCATTAGCTATGCCAGCACCCTAGTACCACCTAAACCTGGACATAAAACATTGAAATGGCCACAGATAATGTGTGAACCATATGTGTAAATAAAATGAGGTTCCTCTGGCTCATCCTACATCTCCTAACGCCACTTGCAAGAAACCACCAAGCCTGAGTCAGAACAACCAATCAGTTCCAGCAGGATTGTCTAACTCAGCGTCAACCACTGCTCGTGCACACACACTGTAGCCTCTTGCGCATGCTGTCACTCAGTTAAGCTCAATGTCTTCAGTGCGGCTTCAGAACGTTTGCAAACACAATGTCTGATAAACAACCACCACTAATGAAGAACTGTCCTTCCTTTGTGAACAGCAGCATACAGTAAAAAAAAAAACGTATGCGATCATTTCCCCGCTCCACACGTAGCTTTGGGCAAAGAGTCATGATGACAAACAATGGGGAATAACTTTATAAGGGCGACTGTGGTGTACTAGCCTCACATTAACTTGTTAGATGTTGTCACAGCTGCCTCTGCAGCCTGGGCCACGTTGAAGGGGCGTCTTCAAGATGCAAGATGGACCAATGTCTTGGCAAGACCCTCTTCGTGGAGAGCGAGCCCTGCAAGGTTTTGCTGGGTCTTTCTTCTGCTGTACGAACTTGTGGATTTGGTGTGAGGGGCTTAAGGGAGTGATACGAGCAGCAGAGACAGAAGATTTTGCATTATGCTTAGTTGTTAACGACTGCCGCTTTAAAGCTCTATAAATATTGATTGATATTTTGATATTGATAAAGATTGTTTATCTGCTCCCCATTCATAACCAGAAACTGATCTCACAAGATTCACTTTGATTCAACCTGTTTAACATGATTCCTCCATGCACATTTATCATTATGTCAAGCGTCGATATATCCCTATCCTTTATCTTTGTTAAATCAGTATTTGCTCTTAAACTTTTTCCATTGCTTATTTGTTCTAAAATATTGTAAGCCAGGTTCAGGTGTGATGGAGTCGTTTCAGAGACTGGTGAAGACGTATCATTGCGTTGTTGTTTGAGGCCGACCGTGGACATAGTGTCAACATACACCGTACCAACAAAAAATCTGAAGAATACTTCCTGTCTGGGGATATTTATCCTTCCTAGATCTATAGAAATTCACTAAGTGTTCAAATAAGAGATTGAAGTTCACCCATCAATACATGTGTGAAGACTCTATTGGTTACTGGTTCAAATCAAGACACATGAAACACTTTCTATTTACAGCCATTCAGTCTGTCTGTACTGAAACAAAAGATTATCAGGACATTGGGTTACTTAACAAATTTATAACAGTGCATCATTATCAACTCAGTTGTGTCAGTCGACAAGCAGGCAGAGAGGAGAGACAGAGTCCTGCAGTTTGGAGGGACTGTCATCCTTGGTTAAATTCAGCTCTACTATTGACCCTATCATGACCTGCGGAAACCTGTGTCATAGTACCCATTAATTACTTCACATTATGTATTTCATTACTACACTTGCAAATCTCTTAGCCAGTAGGTCGGCTTTCTCCTTATTTCTAATTGCCAGGTATTCTCCATTTATCAGCCCTGGATTTTTAACTGTTTTTCTTTCCCACTCATCTTTGTAATCATTGACATGTCACCTAATTTTCTTTCTTTGCCAATGGAGGAGCAGAATTGCTGATCAACTGATGGCCTTTTATTCTAAAAGTGTTTATTATCAGTAACATAGATGTACATCTACCTCACTTCGTTCCACAAGGAAATTTATTTGGTACTCTTTTCTGAACTGCAGCTTTTAACAAACAGATGTCTTTTTTTGTTTCTTCGCAGATAATTTAACAAAAAAAAAGCAGTGCTGGAAACAGTATTCAGATTGTTTACGTAGAAATTCCATAATGTCATTCACCGTGCATTCAGAATGTTAGTTAGGCAGATGTGCATCTATTCAGATATATTCAAAGTAAGAAACGTTAAATTAATCATTACGCAGAATAGCCTCTGTCTGTGCCACATAATTATATATTACATGTAACATGTGTGCAGTTAGTAAACGTTGAGCTTAGTTTTACATCCTGTTGGATATTGTAACAATTAATAGTTTTTATGAGCCCATTATAAGTATAAAAGTATATTTAAAATCTTAACCTGCAAAGTAACTATTGTAACTACGTAGAAGTCATATATAGTATATCTATGGGGTGGTGACGGTGTCCCTGAGCAAGACACTTAACTCCTAGTTGCCTCAGAGGCGTGCGACCTCTGACATATATAGCAATTGTAACTGGACTTCTTATAATACAGAAAAGTCACGTAAATGTAAAATCTGACTTTAGTTCAGTTTAGTTTATTTGCACAGTAATGAAACTACAAATACATGCAATACAAAAATCAGTTATTACATTGAAGAGAAAATTAGCTGAAAGGCTAATTTAGAGTCTCCTATTTAAAGAAATTTTAAAAAGGACATTATAGTCATTAAAAAACAAACACAACAGAACAATATGTATTTTCACAAAACACACAAACAGGCATATACAGCAATGAAAGAAGAGCACAGAAAAACAAACCTAGAAGAAAGTTAGTTAACCTAAGTTACATCATTCAAAACACTTTCTAAAGACAGCTTTGTCTTTAAAGAAACACCTAGAAAATGGGTCAAAGGGTTCATCCTGATCAAGGCAGCTGTGTCAGACAATATATAAGTTGAGTAAGTGCTGCAAATATGCAGCGCCTCACTTCTGTGAGCTCATGTGTGTTTGGAACACAAACCTCTAAAACTGTATCGTCTCCCACATGTTTAGCAAATACAAGACTACTTGCTTGTATGTGATCTTCTTAGCTGTGTCAAATTAGATGCAAACACCTATCTTTTCCCACAGATCATGCAAAGCTATGGCTTTTTACCAGAGTGGGTTCTCGTGTGGACCGCCAAGCTATTACTGTGTCTAAAAGATTTCCCACATGTTGCGCAAGAATATGGCTTCTCACCCGTGTGGATTCTTACATGTGAGGTCAATGTTGAAGTGTCACAGAATCCTTTTCCGCAGGTCTTGCAAAGGTACGGCTTCTCACCTGTGTGTTTCTCATGTGGACTGTCAAGCCACCACTCTGTCTAAAAGATCTCATGCATATTTTGCAAGAATATGGCTTTTCACCTGTGTGGGTTCTCATGTGACCTGATAAGCCTGAAATCTGAGAGAATCTTTTCCCGCAGGTCTTGCAAATAAATGGCCTCTCACCTGTATGACTTCTCATGTGGAGTTTCAACTGACTACTAATTCTGAAATATTTTCCACATGTTTCACAAAAATACGGCTTCTCACCTGTGTGGGTTCTCATATGACTTGATAAACCTGACATCTGAATGAATCTTTTTCCGCAGGTCTTGCAAAGGTACGGCCTCTCCCCTGTGTGGATTCTCATGTGGACATATAAGGCACTGACGGTTCTTAAATCTTTCCCACATGTTTTGCAAGAATGTGGTTTCTCACCTGTGTGGGTTCTTATGTGGAGTTTCAAGTTACTGTTAGTTCTGAAGTCTTTCCCACATGTTTTGCAAGAAAATGGTTTCTCATCTGTGTGGATTCTCATATGAACGTTCAATTGTGATGTGTTACTAAATCTTTTTCCACAGCTGCTGCAAGAATATGGCTTCTCACCTGTGTGACTTCGCTGGTGAATCTGCAATATAGACTTATAGTTAAAATCTTTTCCACATGTGTCACATTTGAAAGAGTTTTTACCTGTGTGAGGATTATGGTGACCTCTGACATGGTAGAGTTGTTTACATTGTTTCTGTGGCTTCTGCTTTTGTGATCTTGATTCTTTTGTTCTGGCTCTGCGTCTCTAGTTGATCCTGCGTCTTCATGCTCGCCTCCTTTCTGATCTTGGCTCTCAGCTACATGACAGCTGTGAGAGAGGAGCTGGTGGTCACTTTTCAGTTCTGCTTCACTGTGGTCTCTTTCCTCATAAGTAGGAGTCAACATAAAGGTATCAGTCTCCTGCTTCAGTACAAGCTGCTCTCCCTCCTGACTGGTACAGAGTTCCTCCTGTTCCTCTTTAATCTGTGGAGGCTCTGGGTCCTCTTGGTCCAGACTGGAGTTCCTCTCCTGAATACAGAGCTGCTGGTCAGCCAGAACCTCCTCCTCCTTCCAGACATGTTGCTGTGGGAGCTCTGGAGGGACAGAGAACAGAAGGAACAGGTTACTACTGGGATGGGAAAGAACAAGATGCAGTACCAGTATATATTTAAATACTTTGGATAATATATAAATCCCTGTTTTGTGTTACTAAACAATGAAGTTTTACACACCTATCCTGTGTAACTTTATTTCGGGTTTCCAAATTATATCCAGCAGTCTGCGCTGACGATCGATCTCTTCTTCGTACTCGACGATCGTTTTTATATATATATATATATATATATATATATGAGAAATATTGTACTTTTTACTTCACTACAAGTATTTTCAGCTTCAGTAAATAGTTACTTTACAAAGTAAGATTTTTACACTCATATTTATAGTTTTAAAAATCCTGATAATATATGAAATATGATAAATTACTACTGCTAAAAACTACTCAACAGTTTATACAAGTACATCTAGTACATTAGTTGACTGACAGAAATATCTTTTGATAATCGCTTAATACATATTTCATGTAAAACATTTCATGGTTCTGGTTTCACAAATGTGAAGATTTGCTGCTTTTATTTTAGGTGGCTAAAATAGGTTTTGCTACTGACCCTGTCCACTGCAGTATATTATTTTGCTTCAGTGCCGGTACAAATCTCTGTTTCTCCAAACTGGGGATGCGCCCACCGCCATCTACTGCAGGTAATACACTGACTATGCATAAGTTTCTCATACAGCCCCACTTCAAAAAACCCAGACTATCCATTTAATAGGACTCCTTATATGTTAAATAAAAAACAGTAATGTCAGTAAATCTCAAATGTAAAATCTGACTTCGTAGTTCAGTTTGGTTTATTTGTGCAATGCTGAAAATAAAACTACATAAAAAAGAAAAGACAGAAATTAGAGCGCAAGAAAGCAAAGAAGCCTAAAAGGCGCATTCAGAGTCCTGAGTCCTGGTTGCAACCACTACTTCTTGAAGATAAATGTTCTTAAAAATAAAAAAATAAAAAATAAAACAATTTGTCTGTAAAGACAAAAAAGATCTTCTCAACCTTAGGTTACTTAGAATGCATCACAGAGTTTATTTTATCAAGGCAGCAGGATGTTACCTTTGGCTTCCTGTAGCTCAGCATATGACCCCGACATGACCTGGGGAAACCTGTGTGATATTAGCCTTAATGAAGGAGAAATTCCTTCACAATAAGTCACATAGTCACATGAAGGGAAATTGACATCTCATTTTATGGAAAACCTTTTACATTCAGTTGAGAGATGTAGCTATTGCAAAAATGGATTTCAATCACAGGTGAACACGTCTCCACAGGAGTTTCAGCTGGACGGTCTCTCCTCCTAACGATCCTCAGGTGTTTTTTTGCCTGTGATCTTCTGTGCTGTGCCACATTATACGTAAAAGCATATCTTCTCCATCAGATTGTGCAAAGCTACTGCTTCTTACCAGTGCGGGTTCTCATGTGGACTTTCAAGGCACTGCTAGTTCTAAAATCTTTCCCACATGTTTTGCAAGAATATGGTTTCTCACCTGTGTGGATTCTCATGTGTGTTGTCAATGCTGAACGGTCGCTGAATATTTTCCCGCAGGTGTCGCAAAAGTATGGCTTCTCACCTGTGTGGGTTCTTCTGTGGAGTGTCAACTAGCTGCTAAATTTAAAATCTTTCCCACATATTTTGCAAGAATATGGTTTTTCACCTGTGTGGGTTCTTCTTGTATGAACACTCAATTGTGATGCAGATATTAATCTTTTCCCACAGGTCTTGCAAAGATTTTCAAGTGACTGCTTTGACTCAAGTCTTTCCCACATATTTTACAAGACATGGATTCTTATATGAGCTTTCAAATCCGATGTGTAACTGAATCTTTTCCCACAGCTGCCACAATTCTATGGCTTCTCATATGTGTGAATTCTAAGGTGTGTTTGCAGTAGTGACTTAAACTTAAAGTATTTTCCACAAGTGTCACATTTGAAGGAGTTTTTACCTGTGTGAGGATTATGGTGAACCTCTGACATGGTAGACTTGTTTACATTGTTTCTGTGGCTTCTGCTTTTGTGATCTTGATTCTTTTGTTCTGGCTCTGCATCTCTAGTTGATCCTGAGTCTTCATGCTCGCCTCCTTTCTGATCTTGGCTCTCAGCTACATGACAGCTGTGAGAGAGGAGCTGGTGGTCACTTTTCAGTTCTGCTTCACTGTGGTCTCTTTCCTCATAAGTAGGAGTCAACATAAAGGTATCAGTCTCCTGCTTCAGTACAAGCTGCTCTCCCTCCTGACTGGTACAGAGTTCCTCCTGTTCCTCTTTAATCTGTGGAGGCTCTGGGTCCTCTTGGTCCAGACTGGAGTTCCTCTCCTGAATACAGAGCTGCTGGTCAGCCAGAACCTCCTCCTCCTTCCAGACATGTTGCTGTGGGAGCTCTGGAGGGACAGAGAACAGAAGGAACAGGCTACTACTGGGATGGGAAAGAGTAACGTTGCCTGTATATAATTAAACAATTTGGATAATATATAATCTTTTTCTGTTGTGTCATTAAAATAATGAAATTTTACACACCTATCCTGTGTAACTTTATTTCGGGTTTCCAAACGATATCCAGCAGTCTGCGCTGACGATCGATCTCTTCTTCGTACTCGACGATAGTTTTTATAAAAACTCCGAATATTTCTTCAGCAGCAGCAGTTAGTCGCTCGTTGACAAACTCTCTCAAACACTCAACTGAAGACATTGTTGCTTAATTACAAATTAAATAATTAGCGGTACTACGATTACAATAAAGACTTCTAGTGAATTTAATACATGCAGCTAACGCTGGCGTTTGTATTGTTTACTTCCGCTGGGTGTCACACTGTTAAGTTCCGACAGTGGACGTTCGGGAGCTTTTCTTTCTGCTTCTTCTTCTTCTTTATTGTTTAACGGCGGCTGGCATCCAACATTATTGGTGCATTACCGCCACATACTGTACTGGAGTGTAGGCCGGAGATAAATAAATAAACCATCAAAACAAAACTGAAACAAACTATATATATATACTTTCTGCCAGTCTTGTTTCCTTTAAGAATCGAAATAACAGTGTACTCATATCATTTAATGACTTCCCCAGCAATTCCCCAAGTGAATTCCCTTATGCCATCTCTCATCTTTGCCCTTTCCCTCTCATATTCTTGACACTCAAAAATCGCATGTTCCACAGATTCAATATTATCACAAAATTCACACCTAACTGATAAGTGTTTACCCATAATATGTAACCCACAGTGTCTTATTCTTAACCTAGTGAAGATAATTTCTTCCTTCCAGTGACCCTCTCTGTTCCAGCCTTTCGTTGAATGTTATATAATTGTCACCCTTTCTCCTCTGCATCCCAGTGTACCTGCCACTTTTTATTAATTTTTGACCAGATTTGTGCGTTGGCTTCTGCTTTACTTATGAAATCGCTATTTCAACAACTTCCCGTTTACTGTTTTATTTTGCCAATGTATCTACAGTTTCATATACCCTTCACCCCCACATGTGCTGGAACCCATGTAAACTTTACCCTTACCCCCATCTGACAAATCCGTGAGTGTAGTTCTAGTACCTCATATACTATGACCTGTCTTGCTTTTGACTTAAATGATTGCAAACTCTTCAGAACTGCACTAGAGTCTGAGCATATGACAACTTTTGCTCTACCCACTGCAATGCCAATCAAACAGCCACCAACTCCACGGTGAATACTAATAAATTATCAGAGAGTCTCTTCTGCATCATTAACCCTATCTTTGGTACACTGAAAGCAGATCCAGTTTCTTTAGACCCATCAGTGAATATGACCAAATAGTCACTATACTTGTCATTCACCCGATCACAAAATACCTGACATACATCCACCCCGCTCTACTCCTTGATTGGCTATATAAAGGTCCACACATAGGTCCATACTAGTCTGCAAAAGAAGCCAAGGTGGTCTGACTGGCAGCAGAACTGTAGAGCTGAATTCCTTTCCCTCTAGTCCCATCTCTTTTCCAATAGCATCACCCACCCAGCCAAAATTCTGACTTTTAACCCTTTCATGCCCCCATCTGTTACCTATTTAATCAGTGCATCATATATCCCCTTCAGTGTAACTATAACTTTCTCAATGTGGCTGGCCTATGTCAACCTAGCATCAAAAACCATTCCCAAAAACCTAAAGGACTCAACCTTCTCCAGTACATGTCAATATAGTTTAAGATTGATCTCTTCCCCCAACTTTTTCCTTGTAAAGAAAACCACCTGTGTTTTTTCCCTTAAAAATCTAAAACCCCATCTCAGTGACCACCGCCCTACTAGATCTATTGCTTCCTGGACTTTTCTAACTGTATAATTTATGTTCCTTCCCCTTTTCCACATGGCCCCATCATCAGCAAACAAAGATCTTCCAATCCCAAGCCCTACATCCCTACATCATTTATGATGATGGAGAAGAGCAAAGGACTAATCACACTTCCCTGGGGGTCCCATTTTCTATGAGGTACCTGCCCGATTTTTCTTCCCAACTCTCACTCGTATAGATCGTCCATACAGGAAATCCTTCACTCAGTTAAAAGCCCTACCTCCTATGCCCAATTTATCCAGTTTTATCATCAGTCCCTCTTTCCACATCATGTCATACGCTTTCTCAACATCAAAGAAGACTGCTAGCACTGTTTCCTTATTGACCTGGGCTTTCCTTATTTTGTCTTCCAGGCATAACACTGGATCCATTGTTCCCCTCCCCTTCCTGAATCCACTTTGACACGATGCAATAAATTCCCTCTTCTCCAAAAAATAAAACAGTCTGTCCGTTATCATTCATTACATAACTTTACACACACGAGATGTTAAAGCAATTGGCCTATAGCTAGAAGGTTTTGTCGGATGCTTCCCTGGTTTCCTAATTGGGACTACAACTGCTTCCTTCCAACTCTTTGGAAGCTGCCCTTCTTCCGACACTCTGTTGTATAGCTTAAGTAGTCTTCTTAATGCTACCTCACCCATACACGAAAACATAATATAACACATTTCATCTTCTCCTGGCGATGTCAAACCTGCTCTTGCAATTGCTCTCTCCATTTCTGCCTTAGAAAATGGAGCACTCAGTGCATCACCCACTTCCTCCCTTTTTCCAGGATACGCCTTCAATGTCATTTCCCTTCCTTTCCTCCACACACCCTCCAGGTTGTCAGAGCTATGTATTGCCACAAAAGCTTTAGCCATCATCTCTGCCTTCTCTTTGTCAGTGACTGCCTTCTACCCCCCTCTGACCAGTACAGGGTAGTCCCACTCCCTCTTTATTCCGCTCATCTTTTTAATCATCCCCCAAACTTCTCCCACAGATGTCGTTCTTCCTATTGAACTGCAGAACCCGCGCCATTATTTCCTCTTAGCATGGTGTACAGTCTTTCTTACAACTGCTTGAGCCCTTTTGTATTGGAGTAAATGCTCAAAATTATGAGTACGTCTCAATAACCTGAAAGCCCTGTTTCTACCTCTTATTACTGGCGTGCATTCCTGTGTCCACCATGGAACCGCTTTCCTTCTCCTTATCCCAGAACTCTTAGGAATAGTTTCGTCCGCCACTTCTTTAATAATATTTTGGAAAGCACTATACTCTCTGTCACTCTCCATATCTCTAACCTCCCCAGCTAACCTTTCCTTGCATAACTCCTTGAATATGCTCCAATTAGCCTTACTTAAGACCCATTTCCCTCTTCCCTCTCCAGACTGTTTTTCCACCCTCATTCTAATTGTGCATAATATAGGAAAATGATCACTCCCTACTGTCAATTCCTCCCATACCTCCCATTCACAAAGCCTTGCTAGATCATTAGATGTGATGGTAAGGTCTAGTGCTGACTCATTTCCTGACCCCATTTTGATTTTTTTGACATTTCTCCCTCTACCATCATTAATACACACCTACCCTTTTAAATCCAACAACTCCTCCATCACCCTCCCATTTTCATCAATTGTCTTTCCCCCCCAAAGTGGATTGTGAGCATTAAAATCTACACACCACACTACCTTTGTTTCTCCCTGTCCCTCCACCTCTTCCATTAAATCGAATTCCAATCTTTTACATGGATCGTAGAAGTTGATTATTACTACGTTCTCCGTTCCTACCCACACCTCCACATACTCCAGCTCCTTCCCTAATCCCAGAATCCTATATGGCATCCCCTGTTTAATAACTGTAGCACACCCTCTCCCACCTCCCGTGCTTCTATCTCGACGGACACCCACATACCCCTGTATCACAAAATCCAGATTTGGCCTAAGCCAGGTCTCTAGAATACAAATAACATCTGGCTTCTGCACCATTTCATCAATAACTCGTTTAAACTCTTATCCATACCTTACCAGGCTTCGGGCATTCCAATGTATTAATAACACCATGAACCAGCCCATGATTCCTGACTAGACTCATGTTTGAGATCATCTCTCACTGTTTCCCATGTCAGCACTGTTACATCCAAATGCCGTACTGCTGCCATCACTGTCAGCTATATTCTTTTGTTTATATATTCTCTGTCTTTGACTTTACATCTGCAGTACCATTAATCACACCAGCAATAAATGTCACTAACTTTCTAACATCCACTTGTATCATATTTCTCTCATTCTGCTTCACTTGTCTTGCTTCATGTCTCACATTATCCTCACTGCTACCCCCTGCTGTCTGGTTCTGAACCTTTTTAACTGCTTCTGCGTATGACACTTTCTGTCCCACTCTCACTTGCTGCACTTGCACTGCTTCCTTCATCATTGCACACCCTCCATAAGCCACACTATTTGCACCCCCACAATTGCAACATTTAGGTGGGACACTTTCCCCAAACAGACTGTAACTATGATTTCCTCCACATCTGGCACACCTTCTTATCTCTTTACACATTACTGCTACATGTCCAAACCGCTGGCAGTTATAACATCTACGTGGTTTAGGCACGTACGGTCTCACAAAGTAGCTCATATTTCCAATTGTTACTTTCCCTGGAAGGACCCCTCCCTGGCTAAAGGATTTTTTTACTCAAACATAACAGGTAAAAATAGGTATATAAGGTACAAATATATATATTTTAATATATATAAATATTTTATTAAGAAAAAGACCTGAAAAAATTATTGCTAAAATATTATAAATACAAAACAGTTTAAATGAAAATACACTTTTAACAACATGCGGTAATAAAAACATAAAAAATGACAAAATAAATGGGTTGGTTACATCCAAATCTAGATCTTCATCTAAGCTGCTACTTGATGCAGGAAGAGCAACAGATGGGTCTCTCGGTTGGCGCCAGTCTCTCGGGTAAATGGGATCCATAACTGTTGAATATGTAAGAACATGAATATAAGTAAATATTATAAGTGACTACATTCACTGTTTTGTTAAGACATGACTACCATCAACAAATGATTTTAAAATGTAAACATAAAGAATATTTCTAATTATCATACTAATGAAGGTAAAAAAAAAAAAAACAATCTTTTCATTTATAACGTTTTTTTCTTTTTAATTTAAAGCCCTTATTTATTACTGAGCCATTCATCTCCATGGAAAATATAAAGATAACTTATTTGTGACATCCCTGTACCTTGTCTGGAAATGATTCTTGAGTCTGGAGCAGCCAATAATAAGTCATCTACATACTGTATCAAAACTAGATCTGCTAGCTGCTGTTTCAAAATCTGGTTAAATAGACTAGGAAAAAGTATGAAACCCTGTGGCACTCGAGTGTAACGAAACTGAGTACCATGGAAGGTAAAAGAGAAAATGTCTCTAAGATGGTCAGCCAGTGGCAGACAGAACAATGCATTGGCCAAGTCCATAAA